GTCCTAAATCCCTACCTTCCGTGGCTCCAGCCTGTTTCTGCCCATCTCTCCTCTGTGTCGGTGGCACCACTAGCCCCCTAAGCTCCTGTCTGAACAGACCAATCCGAGGTCAGAACCAGAGCCACACTCTGAGGTGTTTCCTCCCTGTGCTAGGCTTCCACTAAGCTCCATTAGGTGCTGGAGACTCAGAGATGCCCCTAAACTAGACTCTGCCCTCTCTAGAGCACCCATCTCTTGAGAAGCAGACAGGTAACCAAGTGGTTATAGCCGTATGTGGCAGGCATTTATGGGTGAGGGAGGGCATTGCAGGAGCTTGGAGAAGCCACCCCAATCAACCCATCTCAGGAGCCAGGTCAGCTGAGACTTGGAGAAGGAAGAGCTGGCAGAGGCCAAGATGCAGTCCAATGCCAGGCATTTGCTGCTCTGTGCCAATGTGCCTGAGTCAGGTGGCCACAGCCCTCCTGCCAGCTGGGACTGCCCAGGGCCCTGCGCAAAGGACACTGAGTTTCAGCTGGTAAGCTGTGAGTCTCAGGAGGGCCCACCGGATCAGGTTTCCACTGTGACTCGTGCCCAGAGTTCATGCTTGAGCTCAAGTCCCCAGCTCTCATGTAACCTGAGGGCAAAAATAGACCTGGCTCTGCCCCAAGGCCCAGGAAGATGGGGACAGGACCTCGGAGTCCAGCCCAGAAGATGCACTGCGGTCATAGGCTACTTCTGATCCAGCCAGCCCACATTTCCTTCTCCTGCGCCCAGGCCACAGGATCCCAGAGTGGGGAGGGAAGGAGAGCAAGAAGCCCATCCACCAACAGTGATTCCACTGAAGACGGTAAGACTGAGGCCACACAATAAGACGTGCCTTGCCCAAGTTTTCCCAGCAAACCTGAGCAAAAGTATGGCTGGAATACAAGCCTCCCCATTCTGACCAGGAGCCCTTACCCCCTCCACGTCTCCTTTAGATTGAAGCAGAGACCAGGTGGGATGTGGCTGGTCTGGGACTTAGAAGACCCTCAACAGAGCAGGAAAGAGGGCAGCCTTCACTTTCGGGGTAAAAGATTTAGCAGGGTGTAAGCCCCACTAGCTTGTTATTTGCTGTTGAGTCGTTTGTGACTCATAGCGAGTCAGTACAATAGCTCTGAACTCTGCCCTATCCTGAGCCAACCTCACTGTCCCTGACACACCTACCCCTGTTACTGTAGTTACTGTGTCAATCCATCTCATCCAGGATCTTCCTCTCCTACTCTGTCGCTCCACCTTTCCAAGCATGATATTCTTCTCCAAGGACTGATCTTTCTTGGCCATGTGCCTAAAGTATGTGAGACAGAGCTTCAAAATCCTTGCCTCCAATGAGCAGTTTGGTTTCACTCTCTTCAAGATACACACACTCTGGACTAATCTTGCCTCTCACCGCTGGGCCAATAGGCAACATCATGATAGATGGAGAAAAGAATTGAAGTTGTCAACAATTTCATTTTCCTTGGGCCCACAATCAACACCCTTGGCACTAGCAATCAAGAAATAAAAGAAGTGTAGCAGTGGGGAAATCTTCAGTTAAGGACTTCTCCAGGTGTTAAGGCACAATGATGTCCGTTTAAAGACTAAGGTGCATCTCTGATAAGCCATGGTCTTTTCAATTATTCATTATTCATTTGTAAGTTGTACAATGAGGACGCCAGAATAAGAATCAATTCCTTTGAGTTGTGTTGGTGGAAAAGAGTAGAGAACAACAAATATATCTTGGAGAAAGTGCTGCCAGGTGTTCTTTGGAGGCAAGGATGGTGAAACTTGTCTCACAGACTTCAGGCATGTTGTTAGGAAGGATCAGTTCTTGGATAGGGACATCATGCTTGGAGAAAGGCAGAGAGTCAGAGGAAGAGAGGAAGACCCTTAATGAGATGGATTGATACAGTAACAATGGGTTCAAGTAAATCAGAGACAATGAATATGGGCAGAGTTCAGATATGTTGTTCATAGGGTCTATGACTCTTAGTTAACTCGCACCTAACAAGAGTCCCGTATCTAAGGAGTTCTAGTGGCCTAGTGGGTAAGACGTTGTGCTGCCAACCCGAAGGCAGGTGGTTCAAATCCACCGTCTGCTCCTCGGGAGACTCTTCCTGTGTGATTTACAATTTCTGAAAACTCACTGGAAGAGTCAGTCATGAGTTGGTTCCAACTCAAAGCCACATAACAATAGGCCCAGAAATCATGCAACCCTGGTACTACAGTGGTTAAAACATTCTGCTTTGAACTAAAGAGTTGGTGGTTTAAACCTATCAGTTGCTTTATTGAAGACAGCTGAGACAGGCTGCCTACTTAAAGACGTTCAGCTGTGGAAAACTATGGCACAGTTCTAGGCATGGCAGTGGGCTCAGTTGTGGTTTTTTTTCTGTTTAGGCCCAGAATTCAGTCACGACTCCCGAGGGGAACAGGCCAGGCTTTGAGTCCTAGGAGCCTGGGCAAGTCACAAGACTTCTCTGGATCTCCCATCTGTATAATAGGAATGTGTTGTTGTTGTTGTTGTTATGTGCCGTCGAGCCGTTTGTGACTCATAGCGACCCTATGTACAACAGCCCTAAACCCTGCTCTATCCTGTGCCAATCGCATTGCCTCTGACACACCCATCCCGATTACCCCAGTCACTGAATCAATCCACCTCATAGAGGGTCTTCCCCTCCTGCGCTGTCCCTTTACTCTACCCAGCATGATGTCCCTCTCTAAAGACCTGCCTCTCCTTGCAACATGTCTAAAGTATGTCAGACGAAGCCCCAGAATCTTTGCCTCCAAGGAGTAGCCTGGTTTAACCCTCTCTAGGATGAATCTGTTTGTTTTCTTGGCAGTCCATGGTACATTCAATACCCGTCTCCAGCATCACAGCTCAAAGGCATCAATTCTCCTTCTATCCTCCCTAGTCATTGTCCAGCTCTCTGATGCATAACAAGTGATTGCAAAGACCATGGCCTGTATCAGGCGCACCTTCGTCTCCAAAGAGACACCGTTGCTCTTGAGTACTTTAGAGAGGTCCCTAACAGCAGACTTTCCCATCGCAATACGTTTTTTTATTTCCTGGCTACTGGTGCCAAGAGTGTTGACTGTGGAGCCGAGCAAACTGTAGGTCATGACAACTCATCACCCAGCACTAAATTTGCCATGCTATAATTCTTTGGGTTAGCAGTGAAGCTTTTTATGAATCAGGGCTCCCAGGAGGAGCTAGTGGATTCAGACTACAAACTTTTCAGTTAGAAGCCTGATAAGTTGTGCAGATGACACTACCTTGCTCATTGAATGCAAGGAGGACTTGAAGCACTTGCTGCAGAAGATCATGGACTACAGCAAATATGGATTACATCTCAACATCAAGAAAGCAAAACTCCTCACCGAAAGGCCAATAGGCAACATCATGCATGATATTGTGAACGATTTCTTCTTACTCAGGTCCACAGTCAACACCCTTGGCACTAGCAGTGAAGAAATCAAAGATGAGTTGCATTGGGAAAATCTGCTGTCAGAGACCTCTGCAGAGTGCTGAAGAGCAACACTGTCAGTGTAAAGAGTAAGGTGCACCTGAGTCAAGCCATCATCTTTTCAATTACTTGCTCTGCATTTGAAAGTTGGGCAATGACTAAGGATGACAGAATTGATGTCTTTTAGTTGTGGTGTTGGAAAAGAGTACTGAATATCCCATGGACTGCCAAGAGAATAAATAGGTCTGTCCTAGAGAAAGTGAAACCAGGGAGCTCCTTGAAGGCAGGGACGGTGAAACTCCATTTCACATAGGTTGTGCATGTCTTCCTTAAAGGTAGAGAGTCAGAGAAAGAGAGGAAGACCCTCAATGAGATGGATTGACACAGGGAGTGTTAACAATGAACTTAAGTGTGTCAGAGATGATAAAGATGGCACAAGTATAGCAAAGTTCAAAGCCCAGTTCATAGGGTCACTATGAGTCGTGGCCAACTTGATAGCATATAAAAACAACAAACACCACCAGGGCTCCTTGCCAGCCCCTCCCAGCCTTAACCAAAGCCTTTGCCTTCCAGAGCACAGCTCAAAGGCCTCTCTTAGCCTCTCCTTGCTCTGCAACCAGGCCTCTCTCTGGGTTCCACAGCCTTATAATCCATCATTTGAACCACATGGAGTTCAAACACCTGGGTTCAAGGCTTATCTCTGCTGCTCACTAGTCACATGGCCCACGGAGAGTCCCTCCAGCTCTCTGTGAAATGGGTACTGTATAACACCTACATCAACTGGGACAAAGTCTGAGGATTCAATGAGATAAAAGAACGAACATGGGACACAGATCTGGAAACTGTTATTAAATGGGGTTTCCAGGAGCCTTGGGCTAAAGCAATCAGCCACTAACTGAAAGTTTGGCAGTTCGAACCATCAGCCTCTGATGGAATTTGCTTCCATGAAGATAAACGGCCTTAGAAACCCTCAGTATGGTTTGGTTGTGTTTTTTCTCACAGGCCTCTAGTGGGTAAGGAGTTGAGCTGCCAACCCAAAGGCATGTAGTTCGAATCCACCAGTTGCTCTGCAGGATGGGCAATCTCTTCCTATATGATTTGTTGTTGTTGTTATTTGGTGCCGTTGAGTCATGTAAAACAGCGGCCCTATGAACCACAGATCTGAATCCTGTCCTATCCTGCGCCATCTTTATTGTCCCACTTGAGCCCACTGAGTCACTGTTATCAGTTCATCTCATTGAGAATCTTCTTCTCTTTCTCTGACCCTCACCTTTCCAAGCAAGATATCCCGTGTAATTTGCTGCCTCTGAAAACACACCAGAGGGTCAGCTGAGTTGATCTGAACTAAATAATACTTAACAACCAGAAACTAAGTCTGGGGTCTAAGAGTTCTTTGAGCCTTAATGTCTGCCTTTGCCAAAGCCATCATCTCGGCTTCCCGTCTGGAAAAGGGAGTTACTAACTGCCATACAACAGCCTCAAGGCCATCCAAGCCACATCCCCATTCCACCCCACCCCTCAGCTGTTGGTCCAAGTACTCACTCTGCTGAACTGACTTGAGGCCTCGCAGGCACGTGGCGGCCAGCAGGAATCCACAGCCCGCAGGGGGTGCCCTGAACTCCCCTGCCAGGCTGCAGGCGGCCCCCAGGCAAAGCGGGCCCATGGCAGCCAATTGCAGGGGATGGTGGCGCCGGCCCAGGACCAGGGCAGACAGAGCCAGGGTGAACAGCGGAGTGATGGTGGTGGCCAGCTGTGCCAGGTCCAGGGGCACCGCTCTTAGACCCACGTTGCCGCAGGCCATGGAGGCGCCGAAGGTGAGGCTGAGCAGCAGCACTCGGCATCGCGTGCGCCCCGGCAAGGCGCGCCGGGCCCCCCAGTGGCATGCCAGCGCTGCCGCCAGCATGTGCAGCGCGGACAGCAGCAGGGGCCACCCGAAGCCGTGCACCGTGAAGATCCACTTGTTGAGACTTGACATGCTAGCTCCCGCCAGTAGCCACACCAGTGCCGCCACGGCCACCTGGCCCCGGCCAGGCCGCCTCAGGGCTTTGGGGCTGCTGGGGGGCCACTCGGAGGACCCAGCCGCCTCCCGGGCATCGCCAGCCCCTACCGCTGCGTCCGCTGCGGTCATCCTGCTGTCATGGTGCTCCTGGGGGCAGCGGCACATCCGCACCAGTGGGGCCGAGGCGGGAGGCGAGCTCGCCAGCGAGGCGCAATAGGTCCCCAGAGCACCCCGCTGCGGGCCAGGCCGGGGCCGGGTCCCTTTGGTCTCGTGGCCCGTCTCTCTGACAGGTGAGGCCACCGATTCCGGTGCCAGGCCTCTGCCAGCCTGTGCCAAGCGCGGTGCTGATGGCCTGCAGGATTAGAAGGGGAGAGCAGAGGTCTTGGACTGTGTTGTCCAGGTCGTGGCTGCTGGAAGGCTGAGAGGCCAGGTGCTCACGCCTGGCCTGGTGAGGGCACCTTTGCTAGGTGAAGTCACCCCCTTTCCTCTTAATGCTCACGCTGGGATCTTACATGGAAGATGTGCGCAGCCAGTTGCGATGGGGATTCCATCGCCGCCAGGACCTCCGGCATATTCAGGTAGGTCCAGGCCTTGGCAGGGGCGATCCGGAGTCCTGTGTTGGTTCAAAGGAGCCGATGCCTCTGACAGCGCTCAGGCCGCGGGGCTGACAACGTCGGCCTGCTCTTGCGTTGCGGCCGGGACCAGAAGGCAGGTTCTGGTCTTCTCTGACTAGGCCTGCGCTCCGGTTCCGGTTCCCGGCAGATCCAGTACCAGGCAGCTCTGGCTGCGTTTGTGGCTCAGATAGAGGCTTCCGCCCGGCTCCAATCCCGCCCGGCGGGCGCGGTCCCGGCTCTCCGAGCCCCGCCCCGGCGCTTCGAACTCCGCCCCGGCGCTTCTAGCTCCGCCCCGGCGCTTCGAACTCCGCCCCGGCGCTCGAGCCCCGCCCCGGGACTCCCGGCCCCGCCCCGGTGCCCCGAGCTCCGCCCCAGTGCTCTTAACCCCGCCCCGATTGTCCTTGCCCCGCTCCCAAAGCGGAGGACGGCGCCGCCATGGGCGGGCCTGGGTCGGCATTTCCCCGCCCACACAGCCCTCTCTGAGTCCCGCCCCTCGTCCTGGGATTCCCTCCCACGTGCCTCTGCTCAGAGCTACACCCCCCCAACCCAGCCGGTTTTATCAGCCTCCCCTGCCCTCAACCCCACGGCGAGGAAAGGAGCTCAGACCCCTCCCCATCACAGCCAAAACGAGCCCCCAAGAGATACCAACACAAAAGTGGGAGATATAAGGAGATCTTCAAGGCTAGGGCATTGAAGAAGGTATCAATGCCGCCCCATCTCAGAACGAGTCAAGAGTATCCTGGTGTATTTTGGCATCCAACAAGGCTGAGCCACTGAGCCGCTTAAGGTCCCTCCATCACCCCTCGAGATTCCTTCCCTCAGTCCAGGGCGGCACCCCCAAGGTCACCCACAGCTGCGAGCTGACTCACAGTTGGATTTCCTAGCGCCCACGCGCGTGCCCCAGCCCTGACAGGACAAAAAGCCTTGGGGTGTAATTGCTGCAACTGCCACCAAGCCTGGGCCTCGTTTGATCCCATTCCAAGGAGTTCACCCTCACTGCGTCCCCACCCACTGCCTCCTCATAGCGACACCATGGGACAAAGTACCATTTCTCCATAGAGTTTCTGAAGCTGTAAACCTTTACCCGGAGCAGACCCGCGGAGCTGCGGGCCAATGAGCAGCCCAATGATTCACCCACCAGGTTAATCCACCAGGGCACCTTCTCTGGGCACAAGCTTGGGTAATTAGCACCCCAGAGCCGGAAGGGAGGGTCTGGATTCTAAATCTAGCCCCGATCTCTGAGCTCCGGAGTCCTGGTGTTAAGGGACAGAGGGGGAGAGCCTGCTCTAAGCCTTTCTTCATTTCAGAGGTTTACTTCCTATATCAGGTTATGCAGATGAGGTTAGCACGGGTTTGTTCTATTTACATTTCATGTGCAGAAACCATATGAAACTGTTCACTACAGATCAGCAAGCAATTTCTTGCTTACTCGGTAATCTGTCCTTGCTCTTGCCCATTAAGATTCAGTTCTTTCCTTTTGTCTGACAGACGAGCTACCTGCCAGGAGCGATGACCTCAGAGAGGACGGCTAACCTGGCCCGCGGCGCCCTCTGGTGATCAGATAGCAGAACACAACGTGGGGTGAGGGCTGGACAACCCCCCAGCCTCCGGGCTAGATCTAATAAACCTGACGCATCTGTCCTTATGGGATCCCCTAGTCTGCATTTCCACATTTGTCTCTGGTGATTCTGATTGGAGGCTACAAACCACTATTGAACGGCCCCATTTGTCGAAAGATGAGGATGTCCCTAGATTTCCATGCTAGGGACCAAAAATGGGGGCATTTAGGCAGCTTTCTCCACAGGGGGAAGGGAAGGGGATTGAGTCAGCCTCAGTGCAGCCCCTTCTGAGGAGGAATCCAGGCCACCTAAGGGTTGTATCATTTTTCAGATTTTATTAGTTTTCTCATCTGCTTCATTTGATAAATAAAAGCAATATCAACAAGCTGGTCTTAGCACTGAACGGGCAGGGAATGGGTAGTGAGCAGTGAAAAATATGCCAGTGCCTCCTCTCAGCTGCCACTCAGAGCTCCCTCTGCCCTGACTGGTGCCAGGTGGCTCTGAGGAAGGAGGATTATTTGACATGAGGCTGGCAGGCTCGGTGTGGTTGGGAGGACACCGAGGGCTCAGCACACAGCAGTGACCCTGTCAGCCACCATCCCAGGCAGGAAGCTGAAAAGGCAAGGGCACAGGAAAAAGGACTAGGGATGAAGTAGAGGGGCCTGGCGCCCCACAAGTCCTCCCATCTGTTTCTGGAGTGCTGAAGAGATGGACTCTGGTCCGTCCTCCACACGGCCTGAGGAGGGGAGGAAGCGTGCAGGGTCTGAGTGGAGGCTGGGCCCTGACCAAAGCCTCCACGCTTAACTGCTCAGACCTCAATTTTCCCACCTGTGAATTGAGGACAATGGTATCCTTCCCTCAAGGTTTTGGGGAGTCCAATGAGATCAGAAGCATGAATGTTGTGTAAACCAAGGTATAATCCAACCATTTTAGACAAGGGGGGTCTCTTATCTGGGCTCAGCTCTTTCCACGTTCTAACCTCATCCCCAATTTCTGAGGATCCCTGTGTATCAGACTGTTTCCGAGGAAGTTCTTAGAAGCCACTCTAGGCACTGAGGCCCTGACACTTCCCCTCATTGGCTTTGTCAATTATGCCAGATGAGACCTTGACAGATGAAGCCTTGGGGGTGCAAACTGAAAAAGAAGAGGGGTCTGAACTAGAATAGGGCAGAGAGTCCTATCTGGGGACACATGGCCTGGTGGGGGGAGGGAAGCTGGGGTACAGGATCCTTGAGTGCGACTTAACTTCGTTAATCACCTCATATCATTGGTGTAGAGTCAGAAATGACTCGTGGTTGACCCTCCAGCAGGTTTTCAGAGGCTCGACATTGCACAGGAGGAAAATGCCTATTTTTATCCCTCAGCAGTTTGTGGATTTGAACTGCCTGCCTTTGGGTTGGCAGCGCAACTCCTTACCACTAAACAACCAGAGAGCTCCCTAACTTTGTTAGCAGCCTGAGTCTTTCAGTAAATATATTTGACTTGAGCAAGATAAGGTAGTTTTCTGTTCCTCACAGCCAAATATGCCCCACTCAGACATTCCCTCCTGGAGTGAGGCAGGCTGGAAACCTGAGTACTGGCTGCCACACCCGCCTACTCACAAGGCAGGGGTGCCCCATGGTTACCATCCCTTCTCTTGATGTCTCCCCTGCATGTGCTGGGCCAGCATCCTTCCGGGTCAGTGTTTCCTGGGTAGGGAGGCACTGTTGTTGTTGTTGTTGTTGTATACCATACAGTCAGGCCTGACCCACAGATAACCCTCTGGTGGGTTTTCAGAGGCAGTTAATCGCACAGGAGGAGACTGCCCATCTTTCTCCCGCGCAGCAGCTGGTGGCCTTGAACCACATGTCTGCGGGATTGCAGCACAGCTTCTGTAAGGAGGAACTAGGGTCTCATAACTCAGTGAGGGTCTTACCTCTGCCCCCTGCAGGCTGTGTGACGCAAGACAAGTTGCTGACCTCTCTGAGCCCCTGTGAATGTGAGCTCCCCCAGGTGGTCACAGAAGGCATTGCAGCCCTCAGTGTGCGTGGGGAGCCAGGAGCCAGGTTTGTCCGAGTCTCTCTCCACCCAGTGCCCCTGTCCCTGCCCAACCACTGCCTGTGTGTGACCTTGGAAGGGGTTCACTCTCCCTTTGAGTACCAATTTCCTTATCTGTAAAGCAGAGAACCCTTCACAGGGCAGTGCAAGAAAAGTCATCTAACAACATGGCCTCACGACCCCACTGCCATTCTCGCTCCCTGAGGTCCCGGAGAACAAGGACCGACCCTCCTCTCCTCCTTTCTCATGCAGGGACTAGGTTTCCGTTCTCTCTCCACGGCCCTGCACTCAACATGAGGTGCCAGGACGCTGCAGCATATGCGCAATCAACACTTTAATCATTTCAGAGGCGGGCACTGCGCAGCCGGAGCTGAAACCATGATGCTCCCGAGCAAGGTGGGAGCACCAGTCAGAGAGACCCCCTGCAGGACCTCTACCCATAGTGGGTGGTATCCACGGCACCAGCTCCCGGCCGGTGACATCTCCCGCCAGAGGGGACTGAAACTCTTCACACCCTTCAGTGGTGACCTTCCCAGGATGCTTTAGGGGCCCAGACTCCGCCTCAGAGACTTCCAGGAGAAGGTTCTTGGTTTTCTGCTCCAGGGTCTTGACTTAGGACCCTGGGCATGGGCAGTTGCTTGGTTGATCCAGGGGACATCGCTCCAAGTGCACAGGAAGTGGCAGGGGGTCAGGGAGTGCCTGTTTCAGGGACGTGTGGAGGAAGGGCAGAGACCCAGGGGTGCATGTGGCTGCCGAGGCAAGTGAGCCCTGGGTCTACCAGGTGACCAGCCTCAACTCGATGGTTTCGCCATCTTTTGGTATGTAGTCAGCAATACCTGCAGAGACAGAATGGGCCCAGCATGAGGGTGTTAACAGGTTCCCAACCTCATCTTCTGGAGCCCCCAACCCTGATGTCAATGTTAAGTATCAGGGTGGTGAGAAGCTGGGTGCTGTCCAGAACCTGACTGGGGACCCAACTCAGTTATGTCCTCCAGGGGCACCAAGCCTTTGTGCTGACTTGACAGTGGGTGAAGGCCAGACAATGGAGAAACTGGACAAGATGGAAAACAAACACAAGAGGAATCTGGGGCCTGGACAACATGTGGCAAGCAGGGTTACTGTCCTCATTGCTTCTGAAAGGCCGTCAAGAAGAGAGAATTGAAAACATTACAACCAGGGAGCTCTGGTGGCCTAGTGGCAAGAAGCTGTACTGCAATCCCAGATGTGCCTGGTTCGAATCCACCAGATGCTCTGCTGGAGAAGGAGGGACAATCTCCTCCTGTACCAGTCAAATCTGATTTGACGACACAGTGCACAAAAAGTAATACAATTTTTAAAAATAATAAAAAAAAGAAGAAGAGAGAATTGCTCAGTGTGATCCAGAGGGACAACAGGTCAGCTCTCCTGCGTGTCAGCTTTCATTCAGCTTGCTAGAGACAGCCCAGGCCCAGCGTCCACTCACCAGAGATGTGGCTTGGGGCGGGTTGTTGAACCCTGGGAGTCCCAGTTTTCTCATGTACAGAATGTTGTTGTGTAGCAACGAGTTGGAACTAACTCCTCGCTGACCTCAGCAGATTTTCAAAGGCAGTAAATTGCACAGAAAGAAACTGCCCATCTTTCTCCTGCAAAGCAGTTGGTGGTTTCGAGCAGTATGCCTTTGGGCTGGCAGCACAACTCCTTACCACTAAGCCATCAGAGGACAGTAGTATTATACAACTTATAATGTTGTTGTTGTTGGTAAGTGCTGTCAAGTCGTAGGTGACTCTTAGTGACCCTATGAACAAAAGTCCTCGACACTTGGGTGCATGACTTTCCCGAGGCAAGCTATTTGCCACTCCTGATATTCCAACTTATAATACTGTATATTAATTGTTGTTGTTATGTGCCATTGAGTTGCCTGCGACTCTTAATGACTTCTGTGTACAACAGCCCTAAACCCTGCTCTATCCTATGCTAATCTCCTTGTCTCCGACACACCTGCCCTCACTCCCCCAGTCACTGAATCAATATATCTCATCGAGGGTCTTCTTCTCCTGAACTGTCACTCCACCCTCCCAAGCAATGGTGTCCCTCTCCAAGCACTGGTCCCTCCTTACAACATGTCCAAAGTATGTCAAACAAAGCTTCAGAATCCTTGCTTCCAAGGAGTAGCCTGGTTTCACCCTTTCCAGGATGAACCTGTTTGTTCTCTTAGGAGTCCATGGTATATTCAATACTCTTCTCCAGCACCACAGCTCAAAGGCATCAATTCTCCTTCTATCATCCTTAGCCACTGTATTATCAGTACAGTATATTAATCTGGGAGGGGAGGGAAGGGATGGTTACTGAAACCCATGTGCTTGGAATGTGTATTTCCAATGACAGGAACTTTATTAACTCCCAGCTGTTCCCCAGCTCAGATACAGTAGAAGGGTGGCTTCTGTGGCCGGTTCATTTGGGATGAATAAACCAGGCATGTGTAATGCAGACCATTCCTTCTTCCTCTTGGGAGTGGGCTTTCTGCTAGGCTGAGGGGGCAGAGGTGACGGGAGAGGACAAAACTCATGGCCTGGGTGCAGCTGGCTCTCACCCTAAGGTCCACCCTGCAGTCTAACCTTTTTCAATCACTACCTGGAATCCCTTTGTTTCCTTTCTCAATCTGTTCAGACTTAAGCAAGGAAGAAGGATGCTTTTGACTGGCTCCCTCAGGAATTCCCAGCTTCTAGAGAGAGCACTTAGCATAATTCCTGGCATTTGGTGAACTGCCCAGTAAAATTTCCAGGAAGATCACTGTAAAAGGATCTTAAGTAACAAGAATGGGGTGATGGACTTTTAAGAGTCTCATAGCTGGGCTGCTTGACAGGGTGATCATCACAGCTTGAGGCATAGACTTCAAACCTGTGACACCATAGAGGCCCATCAGGAGCTGACCCAGTTGTGGCCCAGGCATCTCACGCCATTCTCCATGGTACAGCAGCCCTTATCAATCTAAACCAAGGGTAATAATCCCATCCCACCAGGCACTGTTAGGTTCCAGCCCTGGGTAATCTCCCAGTGGCTTGAATGAGCCCAGAAATGAGCACGAGGTCCTTGAGAGGTGGTAAACTTGCTGGAGGATTTAGAGATAAGGTGCTTCCATCATGAAAGGGAGAAAACAAAAGTCTCTGAAGGAAGGAATCAACAAGGAGAGGACACAGATAAAGGAATCCCAGGGAAATAGAGTCAGAAGCCGTGGTATGTTAACTCTGAAGTCCTCTCTACCACTGCATTTCCAGTCACATTAAACCAATGAACGTCCTTATGTTGAAACTCATTTGCATTGTAGTTCCTGTTACTTGCAGCCCAGTTCACCCTAATGGACGGCAAGTTCATGGCCATTACAAAGAAAAGGGAGCTCTGTCTGCGTGCTCTCGAGGGACTTACACTGTTAATTCAAGGGCAATTTGAATCCTCCAGAAAGGCTCCTCAGGAGAAGAATGGGCAGTCTCCTCTCATGAGACTTCTAGCTTTCTAAACCCAGTGGAGGGGCAGCTCTGAGTTGGTTCAGACTTGACAGAAATGAGTTGGGAATAGCTACATATGCCAACATTGAAAGATGTCTGCAATGCATTAAGAGGGTTGTTTGGGTTTTGTTGTTTGTTGTTTTTTTTTTTTTTTAAAAAAGAAGCTGCAAAATCATATATGGAGTTGTATTGTCCCTTACTACATATGGCTATTAGCAGGTGAAATCTTAGAAGAAACAAAAATATCATCACACATTTTCTATTGATTATAAGCTAAAACAATAGTATTTGGGATATGATGTTTTTGTTGTTGTGTATCATCGAGTTGGATCAACTCCTAGCTGACCCTCCTGCAGGTTTCCAGAGGCTTTTAATCGCATGGGAAGAGACTGCCCAGCCTTCTCCCGCAGAGCAGCTGGTATACTGGAACCATATACCTCTGGGCTGGCAGCACAACTTATCACCAATCCACCACAGCTGGGTTAAATAAGAAGTACTGAGGATATACTGGACTAATGTAAGAGATCTATGAATATTGATTTCAGCTTGCCTTTTTTGTGCCTACTTAGAAAATCCAAAATTATAGAAGTAACTTACATACTTGTCCTTTTTGAGTTAAAGTTTACAAATCATATTGGGGTTTTTTTTCATCACCAATATGCATTTTCTGTTAAAACAGTAATTACAATTGAAGTTTGTTGTTGTCGTTATGTGCTGTCGAGTCGCCTGTGACTCACAGCGACCCTGTGTACAACAGCCCTAAATCCTGCTCTATCCTCTACCAATCGCACTGCCTCTGACACACCTATGCTCATTACCCCAGTCACTGAATCAATCCATCTCATCAATTGATGTGACACACCTATTTCTATTGGATAGCACTGACAGAGCGTATAATTCCATTTTATGGAAAAACAAGCTTTCATAATTAACGTATTATATGGAAGAATGCAAAGAAGTTAAAGCTCAGTTATTTCTGAATAATGAATTAAGGGCAATTTAATTTTGTTTACTGTTATTTAGCTTTGTGGTAAAGACCTGAGCCATCAATCCGAAGGCATGAGGTCCGAATCCACCAGAGAAAGATGGGCAGTCTCCACCTGTATGAGTTTCAGTCTCAGAAAACCCAGCGGAGAGTCATCCAGAGTCAACTCCAATTCCAAGGTGCACAACAATAACAACCACCTTATTTCCCAGCATTTCCAGGATGACATGCAGGGAGATTCTAAGAGCACAGTTTGGAAAAATTGCACCTAGTTTTGTGCATTGATGATTTTAGGAACCTGAGATCCAGGAAGGTTCAGGGAAAGCTGGGGTGAGTTGTGCAAAACTTGGGTTCTAGAACAGGATTCATGGTGGTTAACATTGTGTTAACCATGACCACGATCCTCGGTACAAAGTAACCATTCCGTGTGTTGTAAATGTTGATTAATCAAATCCTGCTAAGATAGGATTACAACCAGATCTGGAAAGACATGACTGGTCTTATCCGATTCAGGGTAGGGTCTCCTCAGGAGTGTGCCCTGCATGGTATTCAAGTTAGAACTCTGACTGGAGAGAGTTCAGATCTCTTTCTAATCATCTGTCTCATGGTCTCTACGCTTGAAATGCCAGATTTGCTGACTTTGAATCTGTCTGGCTCCCCAGACACGTCTCTGTCTTGAGGTCTGACTTACAGACATGACACTTGCCTCTACAAATGTATGAACCATTTCCTTAAATAAATGTCTCCCTCTGCTGCATCGATGTTGGTCCTCTAGAGAACCCAGCCTCTAACAGACTCTGATCAGGGGCACACGCCCAGGGTGGCAAACTGCCACACTTACCTTGCAGCAGGGGGGTGTCATTTTCTTGGAGGAGTTGCCAGAACTCCCTTTCTCCAGCCTCTTTCCCCATCACAGAGGTCAGGTAGGGGCCAGACAAGGAAGCCTGGGTTCCAAACCTACCAAAGGAAAAGATGAAAAGGAAGAAGTGATTGTTGGTCCCATCAACCCACAGAGAGAAGTGAAATGCGCCCACATCGACAAAGACTCTCAGAGTTACCCTGGAGGTCAGCACTAGCCCAGCCCTTCCCCGGCCACCTCTCGTGGGTCTTACTCCCTGCTCTCCACCTCAACTGACACTACTCACTTGGGCTTGTTCTCAAGCTGACCCTCGCCATGACCTCCAGGTAGGGACATTTGTTACCTTTGTGACAATATCAACTCAGCAGTTGTTCCCTTCTGGGCTGAGGCAGTAAGAAGTAAATATCAGAAACTACTGGCATCACCCGGGTGCTCCTCAGAGGCAAGGGTGGTGAAACTTAGTCTCACATACGTAGGAAATGTTGTCAGGAGGGACCAGTTCTTGGGAAAAGACATCATGTTGGGAAAGGTGGAGGGTCAGGGGAAGAGGAAGGACCCTCAGCAAGATAAGTTGGATATAAGGACAGTAGAGGACAGGGCAAGGTTCAGATCTGTTGTTAATAGGGTTCATATGAGCCATCGTTGACCTGATGGCCCTTAACAACAATTGGCATCACACAGATGCATCGTACACCATACATCACAGGACAAGACGAAGCCAGCATGCAGAGAGAAGCTGGAGCATAGACACAGAGGCAGCCACCTGAAAGCAGCACTGGATTACTGGTTCTGGAATTTTCTATGGATCCTTTCATAGTTAGGTTGCTCAGTCCTCGCCTCTGCAAATCCCTTGCTTCCAGTGACAGAGAAAATGTGAAGCTGTATTTCTGGCCTTTTCAGCCAAGGACTGTGTGAATTTCTGTGCATCACATATGGCCTTCCTGCCTGGCCTGCCCACCACCTCCACTAATGAGAGATTTCTTTCTCAAGCTGGGAACCACAGCCACAGAAGTCTTCTAAGAGGTGCTTGAACTCTGAATGAAAAAGTGAAACTCTGAGTTTTGTTGTTTGGCTTTTCTTTCTTGGGTTTTTAAAAAAAATGCTGTTAGATGTGTCATTGAGTTGAGCATGACTCATAGGGACCCTCTGAACAACAGACCTGAATCCTGTCCTATCCTGTGCCATCCTCATCATGTCTGACACATTAAAATCCATTGCTGCAGTCACTGGGTCAGTCCATCTCATTGGGGGTCTTCCTCTCCTTCGCTGAGCCTCCATCTTTCCAAGCTTAACGTTCCTTTCCAAGGAAGAGCCTCTCATAACAACACGTGAGACAAACCTTTGTCATCTTTACCGCCACAAGGAACATTATGTTTGCACTTTCTCCAAGACATATCTGTTTGGGTTTTTGGCAATCCACTGGACGTTCACTACCATTCTCCAACACCAGAGATCAAAGGCTTCAATTGTTCTGCTGTCACCCTTAGTCATTGTCCAGTTCTCAAATGCACAGCAAGTAATTGAAAAGATCACAGCCTGAATCAGGCACACCTTAGTCTTCAAACTGGCGTCAAGTGACCCTCAGTGATTGGAAGAGCATTTTTTTTAATATGATGCTAATATCTACAAGAGATGGAGATTGTTAACAGCTTCCGTTTGCTTGGCTCCACAATCAAAACTCTTGGTACCAGAAGCCAGGAAATTAAAAGATTAATTGCACTGGGAAAGTCTGCTGTCAGAGACCTCTCCAAAGTACCAAAGAGCAAGATGTCAATCTGGAGACTAAGGTGCACCTGATCCAGCCAATAGTCTTTACAATTACTTGCTATGCGTCAGAAAGCTGGACAATAACAAGAATAGAAGACGAACTGATGCTTTTGAGCTGTGGTGCTAGAGAAGAGTATTAAATATACCATGAACTGCTAGGAGAACAAACAGGTTCATCCTAGAGAGGGTGAGGCCAGGCTGCTCCTTGGAGGCAAGGATTCTGAAGCTCCATCTGACATGCTTTGAACATGTTGCACAGAGGGACCAGTCCTTGGAGAGGGATGTCATGCTTGAGAGAATGGAGGTACAGAGCAAGAGAGGAAGACCCTTGATGAGATGGATTGATTCAATGACTAGGGTAATGAGGGTGGGTGTGTCAGAGACAATAAGGTTGGCACAGGACAGAGCAGGGTTTTGGGCTGTTGGTCACTAGGAGTCACAGGTGACTTGACAGCACATAACAACAACAACATCTACAAGTGCATATCATCAGGTCTGGGTAAGCTTGTTGCCTGTTGTCCTGCAGAGGTTCCCCGTGGGTGTTGCTATCTGTGACTGTGCTGGTGGCCAACACCAGAGGCTAAGGAAATGGAGGTGGCTTATCCTCAACACATAGAAAAGGCACATGCATTACCTCCTGGATTCTTAATTGTTGTTGTTGACTGCCTTCGAGTCGAGCACGACTCATAGCGACCCTATGAACAAAAGGCCTGAAGCCCCTCTACAACTATTGACATTTATCATAGTTCATAGAGTTTCCGGAGGCATGTCATTTAGGAAGTGGATGCCACTCCTGCTCAAATTAATTCATATTCATATCCATAATAATTATTATTTATTATAAGTAAATAATCCTCAGGAGAGCCTGACTCACAGCAACCCTAACGGACAGAGTACAACTGCCCCCATAGGGTCTCCAAGGCTGTAAGTCTTTATGGAAATAGACTGTCACCCTTTCTCTCACAGAGGAGTTGTTAGGTTCGAACCATTGACCTCTCCATTAGAAGACAAATCCTTCCCCACTGTGTTACAAGAGCTCTTTCTCAGCATCATTCAAAAACTCCAAACCCAAACCAAACTCATTGTCACTCAAGTCAACTCAACTCCTGATGACTCTCCCTTGCCTTATGGGTCTGTATATCTTTTGGGGAGCAGACTGCCTCATCTTTCTGGACCAGCTAGTGGGTTCCAACTGTCAGCCGTTGGGTTAGTAGCCCAGCACATAACCTACCCCACTGCTGACCGCTGGAGAGTGGCCACACACATGAGGTGCACTGGTCAGTAACGAACCCAGGTCCCCTATATGGCAGACAGGAGTTCTACCCCTCAACCACCACCACCCTGAACTCGTGTCTTTTTTTTTTTTCACAAATAATAATTTTTATTTGTAATTATTAAAAGGCTGAATTTTAAACAGATTCTTGAACTGGTGGCTCATAACCATCAGCCCGTTCAACTTTTGCACCTGTCTCATCTCCAGTAGCTTTTCCAGAGCTACCACCTTCACCATGAAGCTCCATGAGTTTGCCCAATTCAAACTTGGGCTTCTTCAGCATTTTTCTAGCAAATACATCATGGAGAGGATAAATAGACTGGCAAGCCTTTTCTATGTCTTTTCCAATGCTGTCTGGAATCAATTTACTGACCCCCCTCTTTCAAGCCATTTGCCTGCACCTCTCGGGTCATGATTTCCATCATTTTCTTCCGGATTTGGCGGACCTGTTGGTGCTGAGCATAAGATGTCTTCCGAATCTGATTGTTGTGTTTATTTGTAAAATAGACACAAAATAGACGGAGCAAATAACCATCGGTGGTTTTGACATCAATATGAGCTTCAATCACTGTCTGCCATTTTTTGACCATGGAGCACATTTTGTCCCGGGTAAGATCCATGCCATGGAAGTTGGTGAGGCAGTTTTTGCCTTGAACATCCTCAGTAATTAGCTTGAATTTTCTAAACGCAACTTCGTCATTTTTCAAATCAGCAAGGCTCACTTCAAAAACACGACCCTTTAGTCCATCAGACGCAATTTTGGTTCCTTGAGTCCTTGTGACTAATGTCTTCCCAATATTTCTTATATTGAACATTGCTGGCGCCTTTACATCATACCAATCTTTCTTAGAAAATGGATCAACCACTTTCTTCTTGGCTCCTTTTTTGCCACCTTTTGCCAACCGCCATGGTGGTGCCGAAGGAACAAAAGAAAAGGAACTCTTGTCTTTTCAAGGGGCGACTTGGCATCTCTCTAGTTTGAGATACCTTGGTCCACATGACCCCTAGGGGCCAGCTGTGAGTCCTCCCTGACTGCAGAAAGCCACTCTCCAGAAACTCAGGTTGAGGACAGAAATCAGGGACCTCTTAGGCTGAGTCACATCATTCAAGGGGGAAACACTAGAATCTGGGGAAAGGTACACAACTTTTCCAGGCTAGAGTCCCCATTCATAACCCAAGATTCAACACGCATCTTATTTCTGTATAGCCGAACATAGGTATGATACGCATGGCTGTGCGTGTGTGTAGAGCTGTGTGTATGTAAGGATGTGTGGTGTTTTACGGGGGTGTGTATACAGTCGTGTGCACATGTAGGGATGTGTAGTTTATTAGGGATGCACGTATGCAGGGGTGTGTGTACGTAAGTATGGAGGGATGTTTGGAATATTAGAGATGTGAGTTTAAAACCCACACCCCTCAGATGTGTGTATGTAGGGGATGTATGAATGGATATGTATGGACAGGCCATGTTTGAGAACAATACTGCAGAACTACTCATCAAATCCCAAGGTCAAGGTAAAGTTTAAGGGCATTGTTCATCTTCCCTCTTTTACAGAAGACTTCTCCAGGCAGGGATTGGACAAGGCTTAGTCAGTAATGAAAATCTTATTGTAGCGAATTAGAAAAGCTAACCTGTGCTGGATGCTTGCTCTGTGTCATCCTCAACACATAGAAAGGGCACGTGCATTAACTCCTGGCCTCTCAATTGTTGTTGTTGTTGACTGCCTTCGAGTCGAGCACGACTCATAGCGACCCTATGAACAAAAGGCCTGAAGCCCCTCTACAACTATCGACATTTATCATAGTTCATAGAGTTTCCGGAGGCATGTCATTTAGGAAGTGGATGCCGCTGCTGCTCAAATTAATTCATATTCATATTCATATCCATATGTTCACGTACATGGAGTTCTGCTGGCTTGGTAATAAGGATGACGCTGTCAGCGCGAAGCCACGGGGTCTGAACTCACCAGCTGCTCCATGAAAGAAAGGTGCACAACCTCCTCCCATGTCATCTACAGGTGCTGAAAACATGCAAGTCGATGGCCTATAACACCACCACATACATGTATATCCACACACGTGCACATAAATGCACAGACAAGCAAATCTCAGAGACACTGTAGGTTCGGACCAGACACCACAATAAAGCGAATACCACAGTAATGCAAGGCACAGGGGTATTTTTTCCTCTCATAGTGCATATGAAAGTTATGTTTATACTATTAGGGGATCTATTAATTGTGCAATGATAGGATGAAAAAGTTTTAAATACTGTGAGAATTACCAAAAACAGGACTCTGATGATCTCTGTGACTTGTGTCTGAGAAGGAGATGTCATGAAGTGGAAAGTGGTGCTGATAAGACTCTCTCTAGGGAGCTCTTGGTGACCTAGTGGTAAGAAGCTGTGCTGCCAACCCAAAGTCACCTGGCTCGAATCCACCAGCTGCTCCAGAGAAGAAAGATGGGCAATTTCCTCCTAAATGATTTACTATGTCTGAAAACCCACTGGAGGGTCAGCGACGATTCAGCTCTGACTTGATGGCATATAGCAACAACAACAAAGACTTGCTATAGACTTGCAGGGTCACCACAAACTTTCCATTTCTAAAGCATGAAATAAAGCAAAGTGCAGTAAAATGAAATGTCCCAATGCACACCCATGTTTATTGCAGCTTTGTTCACAATAGCAAGGAGTTGAAAACAACCTAAGTGCTCATCAACAAACGAATGGCTAGAGAAGCTGTGGTATATTCACACAATGGAATACTATGCTGCATTAAAAAACAAGGAACTCATGCAATATTATTCAAAGTGGGTGAACCTGGAGGACATTATGCTGAGTGAAATATACCAGTCACAAAAGGACAAATATTACATGGTGCCACTGTTGTAGAATGGGACTGTCCTTGGGGTTGGGGAGAGACTGAGTAAGATGGGTTCAATAATGTATACTGCACTGAAACAGAGGAGGGAGAAAACTGTTTAAAAGAGATATATAACTAGGTATTTCTGTCATCACAGGAGATTAGAGCGAGGGCTACATGGTGGAGGGGACCTGGGGGAGGGTTTGTAAAACAATGAAAGAATCTTTTCTTTTACTTTTCCATAATTTTTGGACTCATGTACTTATAACTTGTTAGTCAAATTTGTGTCTTCTAGGTTGCAACACCCCCATGATACATCTTCAAGGATATGAACATGTACGGCCAAGCACAATCAATAAGAGTGCATCTAAATTCCAAAATCAATCTCCATAATAGTCTATGTGTTTCCTATTGCCAAAGGGGCCCTTTAGAGTAGTGAGAGAAGATCTTCACCCTGAAACCCACAGCGTCCCTTTTCAGCAGGAAGGAGCTAAGAGAATACACCATCCCCTTTTCCTTATGAATCAGGGTGAAGTCTCTCTCAGGGAGGAGTGATAGGGAATGGCAAAGGACACACCGACAAAGAAGATTAATCAAAACTGACTTTGACAAGCACTGTGGCAATTGGACAATTAAAACAGACATTCGGATCGCAGGGAAGAACAACAAACTGGGGAGGAGGGTGGAGAGAATGGTGCGGCAATGAAGGAGTGAAAGCCCAGAATCCCTGTGAATGTTCATTGAAACTAATAAAATTTAATAATAATAATTAAAAAAAGGACAAAAAAAAGAAATGTCCCTGTATGTGCATCCACACGTCTGCACATAACCATACAAATCGGTATCCCGCAGATAGATGACCTTTGATACAGTCTTTCTCACTAGAGTTTGTCACTTCCACCAAGTGACCGGGTAGGACTACATAAATGAGGTACTATAGCCCTTTGATGGGATTAGACAACGTTAATAATGTAAATATATAAAAAGAAGTAATGTAAGTATGCTGTCAAGTAGATGACCCTCCAGCAGGTTTTCAGAGGCAGTGAATCGCACAGAAGGAAAATGCTCATCCTTCTCCCATGGAGCAGTATGCAAATAAAATGTTTCAAATTCAAAAAGGAGATGGGTCCATTTTACCCTACCAATAGGCTTAACATAAGCCATCTCAGACGCAGACAGAGGAGACCCTTACAACCATCAAGAACGAAGTGCCAGGAGTGGAGCATATTTTTTTGACCTAGAGTCCCTGTGCTGAGAGCATTCTTGAATTAGGAGAGAGAGAGAGATCGCTCAAGTAAGAGTGGGAGCTCACAAGAGACAGTGCTGTAATACCAGACAGGGAGAAATGGCCACAGAAACCGGAGACCAGCAGGGGGGCAGTGCAGTAGGAGTGTTAACTCACAGAGCAAGAGAACCAGAGGCCTTTGGGCAGCAGGAGATGTGCTGGTGGAAAGGAGTACCTCTGAGTACTTAGTGGTGAAGCTACAGAGCTTTGTAATCCTGTGTTCCAAGCAAGGCCAAGGCTAGGCCAAGAAGTCAAGAGCCACACTTGCCTAGAGCCAGAGGGAACATGGCCAAGAAGAGGCTGGCCTAACTAGAGAGCTGTATCCTGAGTGTTCCTGATGCTGAATTATAATGTGTGACTTTTCTAATAAATCTCACAACTGTTAAGTATGATCTGTGAGTCCTGTGTGGCCACTGCAAAAAGATTGTCATATCCAGCAGAGAAGTAGAGAAGGCTGTGGAAGAGGTGGTTGATCAGAATTGATTATACGATTGAAGAGAGGAGCCTTGTCTGACCTCTCCCTACTTAATAGGAATCAGCCTGGGCTGTTGATCTTGAGTCTCTGCCTTGTGCCATTTTCACACTTACTAATCTGTGGTGAAAGTTTCATGTGGGTTTCACCAGGCCTCTGTGATGTGGTGGAACTCATGTGAATGTCATTGTCATTGTCATTGTTCATGACAAAGCAGTAAGTGGACACAGATAAGCCAGTGTTTTACCTTGTAGCATAGGGGCATGTCAGGACTGGAGGACCTGGCCCCATGCCTCTCCCAAGGGAAGCCTCACCTTAATCCTTTGTCCCTCCTCATAAAGCTGTTTCAGAGATGTAGGGTTGGGTGGTGGGAGGGGTGGGGGGGTCTTACGTGAATCCTTGGCCCTGGGCCTCCTTCAGGACATCCTCCAAGGAGGCTCCAGCAGTGACTGGGACAGAGTACTTGTATGGTGGAGAGAAACTGGAGACCTTCAGTCCGACCAGGATGGCCTCTGAGACGTGGGGCTGCGGAGGAGTCTCAGTAGCTGGTTCCAATATGGCTGTGCCAGGGGGAGACAAAAGGGCAGCTGGTGTCAAGTGGGACATTGAAGATTAGTCTTCCTCTCTGCTTTCAAAGGTGCAGTGCTCGACGTGGACCTTCTCTTTCCTTATACCCCCATCTCAGTCACCATCACCTGTTGTTGCTAAGTGCCATTGAGTTGTTGGCTCTGCTGCATAGTGTACAGCTAAGCAAAACCCTGCCCTATCCTGAGTCCGCTGTGCTTTAAGCCCGTTGTTTTGATCACTGTATAAATCCATCTCCTCTAGGGTCTTCCTCTTCTTCCATGATCCTCTACTTTGTCAAGCATGATGCCTTTCTCCAAGGACTGGTGTCTCCTTACAGCACACACTAAGTATGAGACAAAGACTCACTATCCTTGCTTTTAAGGAGCATCTCTGGCTGCATTTCCTCCAAGACAGATATTTTTATTGTTCTGTGGCAGTCTCCCACATCCACAGCATGAAACTGGCTGTCCTCCCAGCCTCTTCTGTCCCTCAGCCTCCATCCCACCACGCCAAGTTCCTACCTCTCACTGGTTTCTCTGCCTTTCGCATCCCCCTACCACCTATCGGCCACACAGCCCTAAGAGGGGCTCTTTGCAAATGATGCATTTTTTGTTATTACCCCCGTTACCTCTGAGGGTCCCCCTTCTTTTCATTTTACTGCTGGCCACCCACTTACTCTCCCAGATACCTTTCTATAGCAAGATCCTTCTTCCCCAGCACTCCAGTCTTGTACACCTCTTTGTCTTTGTTCTTGCTGCTTCTTCTATGCTCTGCCTTTCCTTCTCATGTCTCCACTGTAAACTCCTACTCGCCTCTTCAAATCCCCCTTCCCGATGAAGTCTGGTTCCTGCTGCAGACTGGGGCTCATCATGCTCATCAAATGTACCTCACCCTGTTATGGGTTGAATTGGGTCCCTTGAACTAGACGCGTGGAAGTCCTAGCCCTTCTATTGGTAAATAAGGCCATATTTGGAAATAGAGATAATCTTTCTTATGTTAATGAGGTCATTCAAGAGCAGGGTGGATTCTAAACCAGATCACTCTTATAAAAAGAGCAGAACAGATATAGAGACACAGAGTGGAAGACAAATGCCAAGAAACACTCAGGTGCTTCTGGAACTGTGATGGCTTAGTGGTAAGGGGCTGTGCTGACAACCAGAAGGCACAAAGTTCTAATCCATCAATTGCTTTGTGGGGGAAAGAGAGGAAATCTCTTCTCGTGTGATTTGCTGCCTCTGAAAACCCACTGGAGGGTCATCTATGGGTTGGTTGGTTCAGACTTCATGGAACGTATCAACAATAAACCATCACCAATAATAAGGAAGGGCCTAGAGCTAGTGTTTTGAATTGAACTTTAGTCCCCAAAAATGATACCAAAAAATTCCTGTTCACTAAAGCCTCCCAGTTGTGATATGTGTATTCCAGCAGCACTAGAGAACTAAGATATTTCTCTTTCCTTTGTTCACTCAAACAATCCTGTATTGTACCATACACGAAGCTGAAACTCCTGGTTTGATCCAGCTCAGAGCTGCTTCCCTTCTCGCACCATGAGTTTCTAGAGGCTTCTAGCTGCATGTTAGCTGCCAGTGCATGTAAGTCCACACACAGGACACTGTTGACCCAGCAGGTCAGCAACCTCCCCTCCCAGGAATGGCCAACTCTAATGGCTGCTTTGCAGGTGGAGGAAGAGCTGGGCTTCCATCAAAGACTCCTCTACCTCTTGGTGCCAGGCAGTCTGGGAAGATGAGATCCACATAGCTCTTGTGGTTCAGGACAGGCAACAGCTGGGAAAGCATGAGAACATTCTGGAAGCCTCTGCCTTGGAGACTGGTCAGCAGGGCATCCCTTGCCTTGTGGCACACCAGACTCAGTCTCACGTTGGGCATGGAGGAAGTCATCAGCATCTGTGACAAAGTGGGGAAGAGAAGAAGGGTGCGGGTCAGCCTGCATGCGAAAGGGGGTTCTTCCCGCCCATGACTAGTCTATCCTTGCATAACTCCCAGGATACAGTGGGTCTCCGGGACCTCTTTCCCACCTGCAGGGCCAGTGGGGTGCTGTAGATATTCCCAAAATAACCCTCAGGTGTCTGGGCATTCAAGATCTTCTCCTTTACTGTCGTGATGGCCAAGGTGAGCCGTTCTCTCTGCTCAGGGTTGAGGTCAGTGCGTTTCAGACAGGTGAAGGCCAGGCCTGCGATCGCTGCTGTATCTGCAGGGACAGGAGCATGAGAGTGGCCAAGAAGAGAAGTGAGGTCTTTAGGATAACGGAGGATTTGAAGAATGTGGAGATGAGTGCTTTAGAAATCGTCTATCAACTTGGGCAGCCATGTGAGCCCAGTTCATTCACAAGTTCCTGGTTTGGGGCATTGAACGCCTTGCGTCCTGGGAACATATACCCTCAATTTTGGGAAAGCCAGGATGGTGGTCACCTTACCACAGCCCAGGGGTTGGAGGTTCGGGAGGAGACTGCAGGAGGGAAGCTCAAGAGGACTTTACCCCAGGGCTTCAAATTGTTTTGAACTGGCTCAGTTTTGGCCAACACAGCAAAAATTGGAGCAGACCCTACATTTTATAACTTGGGTGGAGGGAGCAGAGCAATGATGTAAATGGGAAAAGTTACGAGTCAAAATTGTGTAATGGGAGACTCAGAAAAGGCACAGGGAGCCCTTTCAAAAGCCTGATGAGAGACCGGATTATTGTTAGAACCACCGAGAGCAACCCACATTCAAAACTGTGTGGTCAAGCCTCTATTTTTGAGTCCGATACCATTGCTTCCAACTCTGCTGATCTAGAGACTTAGTCTCTATGTAACACACACTCTGTTCTTGTTTTCTAAGAGGCTGAATAAGTTTCCAGCAGAACATTGGCCTATAACTTCCGTTATGGAGACCCCCTATTGACAGATGGGTTGAGCTATTATTCTAGTTCACCTGTTGTTGTTGGTTGTGTTGATTACCACCGAGTCCAGCATGACTCATAGAGACCCTATGAATGAAAGACCTTAAGCCTTTCTATAACTACTGTCTTCCTCAAAGTTCATAGAGTTTCCAAAGGCATGTTGTTTAGGAAGTGGATGCCACTCCTGCTTCCAACTAGTTCACCAACCTTTTACAAATTTAGATTTGTTCCTATGAATGGCCATAACTGAACGGGGTAGAGTTGGTTCGAAGTCCTACTTTGACCTACATCACTAATTCTCAAATCTGGTAGCACATTGGAATCACCTAGAGAGTTTCACAACTTACTGATGCCTGGCACCACTCCAGATGGTCTGGCTGAATTGGCACAGGGTGCTGACCGGGCACTGTGGTTTTTACAGCTTTCCAGGGATTTTGAATGTGCCCACAGTGGTTTTTACACACGTCTCTGATGAAGAACAAGCTTTCTGACGGCAAGCATCTTCTTACTTTTTCCTGTGGGCATCTATCTGCCCTCAAACTACTACTATTCTCCTCCCATTCTAGGAGGGCCACATGTACTCGAGAAAGTCAGGCCTAGGACACATCTTTAACTACAATGACAAGGGGAGAAAAAAAATGAAGGCCCAAGTCAGACTATTAGGAAGCAGATGCAAAATCCAGGCCACAGCTTTTCCAGCTAACATAATGAAGACTCACTGTTATGTAACCAGGACTTCCTCCATGCCAGACACTACTCCTAAGCCTCTTACTTACGTTACTGCTGTTGTTAGTGGCCACCAAATTGGCCCTGACTGACAGCAAACCCATGCAGGACACAGGAAAAGTTGCCCAGTCCTGTGGCCTTCTGTGATTGGCTGGGGACAGATCATTGTGATACATTGGGTTTTCATCGGCTGGTCTTCAGAACAAAACCACCTGGCCTTTCTTCCTAGTTAATCAGGAAGGCCTGTTGAATCCTGTTCAACATCATAACAACACACTAACGCTTATACTGACAAACAGGTCAGGCTGTACCCGAGGCACACTGGCCAAGAATTGAACCCATGTGCTTCCCGTGGAAGGCGAGAGGTCTATCACTGAGCCTCTGATGCCTCACCCTCGCCCTTTCTCGAGGGAAATGGGAGTCAGAAAGGCCTCTGACTTGCTCTGAGCCCTGCAGTGAGTGTAGGATAATCTAGTCGGATCTTAGCCTGGTTCCCAAGTTGGCACTTCCCCACTGCATCGCACCCCAGTCTGTGATGGGTCTTTTTAGCTATCTGGTCTCAAGGAAGGGTGTTCCAAGGAAAGGTAGGAGGTGAGGCGGGCAGGTATGAGGACGTAAGGTTAAGGTTGGGATTGGGGAGGGTCTGTCACTCACCCACAGAGAGGTGTCCCCGGTGCACAGGCTGGTCGTGTTCCACAGCGTACAGGAGCTTGCCCACCACTCTGTCATGGACCCGCTTCTGATGGACACACAGCGCCAGGATGGCCAGGCCGTACTGGTAATAGCTCGTGTGAGGTTGACCCTTGTGAGTATGCCCTGGGAGAGAGTCAGTCACAAGGTGGCTGCCACCCTGGATCTGTGGGGTTCCCTCTCTGTCCCCCACCTCCCAGCACCCAGGCCCTCACTGCCTAGACTTCTCAACATGCTCCCGTGGGGTGTGGGACCTCAGTGTCTTCCTGCCTCAGCCCACTTTCATGGGGCCCCTGTGAGTCAGGGCTGGGCCAGCAAGTGCAGGACAGGCACTGTGCACAAGGGGTCCCTGGCAGGTAGAGCAGAATCCTAACACAATGACATAACAAAGGTATGTGACCAGCTGGGGAGTCATGGCAGGATTTCCTAGGGCGGTGACACCCGGGAGAGGAGCAGAGAGGAAAGATGGAGCAGGAGGGGGAAGGGAAGGAAAACCACTGCAGGTGGAGGGGGAACATGGCCGATGGCCTGGGAGGAAGGAGCCTGGCTTGCAGTGGTGGGGAGGCTCCTGGAATGGAGAGGAGCTCCTGGAGGGGTGGGAGAGGGCGAGCTGGGCCTAGAGGGGAGGCAAAGGCTTGCAGGCTGTGGGAAAAGCCATAAGGTTCTTGTGAGGGGCTGATGCGCCAGTTAACTGGAACAGATTTACATTTAACATGCTCTTTCTTCAAGGGCTGCGGTGCAGGGAGCCCTTGAAGGAAGCAGAAGGGTGTATTTGTTACAGAAGTCCAGTAGAGGCAAGTCTTTGGTGATGTCTGTTCCCCTGGAGCACATTTAGGGAATGCAGGAAAGGATGGATCAAGGCTACTGGGTGCATAGTGAGATGGGTCTAAAGTAAGTGGAAAAGAAACCCCTAGTTTGTGTTAAACCCCTAGTTTGAGACGCCTGCAGGGTCTCCATGAGGAGCTGACCTTAGGGTGCCGCTCATGTGAATGTAGCTATCAGTGGCAGAGGCTGTGTGTGTGACCCTGGATGAGCCCTCCTTGCTGGGCTATTGCCCCGTAAAATGCCTCACCAATGGCGTTTTTCTCCTCCTCCAAGAACCCTTTGAGCTGTGAGACCAGCCTGTCCCCCTTGTGGCCACCAATGAACTCGCAGTTGGCTCTGAGAGCAAGCAGGTAGAGGGCCAGCTGACCCATGGTTGGCTTGACCTGGACGTCACCAATATCCTCTCCGTCGCTAGTGGCAGACCTAAGATGAGGCCAGTGTAAAAGCACTAAATAGCACGAGGCAGAGCTACCCCATAAATCAATGCCTCCAGGGAGAAAGCGTTAAAGCCAGAGACTTCAAATCTATCTAAGCTCTGGTGGCCTAGTGGTAAGGAGCTGCACTGCCAGCCTCAAGGTGCGTGGTTTGAGTCCACCAGTCCCTTCCTATTGGATTTACAGTCTCTGAAAACCCACTGGAAGGTCAGCTATGAGTCAGTTCTGACTTGATTAAACATAAGAACAACACTCTGTTCCCAAAACAAACAAAGGCAGACATTAGAGACATCAAATGTAGATGCAGTCACATTTAAAACCAGGAATTAATGAAATATTGCACAACATAGATGAATCTAGAACAAATTATGCTCTGTAACATAAGCAAACATAGTATGAGACTGAAGTTATGGAAAAGTCTGCACACAGAATTATTCTTGGAGGGATAATAGGAATGAGAAGGGAGGGAGGGAAGAGTAAACATTAATAGACAGCTAAGCTAAGTGAAGGGACAGGCGATACGCAATAGAGTTGTTGATTAGACGTTGTTGTTATGTGCCATTGAGTTGTTTGGATTAGACATATAATTAATTGATTATAATTATCAATGAAAAATCATCATATTTGTAAATCTTCACTCAAGAAGAAATAAATGTTTTTTAAAAATAGATGCAATCATCCAACCACAAAACTCAAGGGCAAACATGGAAGGCTACCCAATGACTTGAGCCGGCCCTGCTTGTCATGCTTCACCCACATAACAGAGCCCTGGTGGCACTGGAGGCTAATCATTGGGCTGTTAACCAAAAGATTGACAGTTCAAGCCTGACAGCCACTCCATGGAAGGAAGATGGGCAATCTCCTCCTATTAAGATTTAGAGCCTCAAATTCAACTCATTGCTGTCAAGTTGGAATGGAATTATAGCTGACCTTCTGCAGAGTTTGCAGAGGAAGTAAATTGCATGGGAGATTACCTGTCTGGTAGATTTGAACTGCCCACCTTTGAGTTGCAGTTGCTGTGAAACTATATATACTAGACCACCAGAGCTTATGACTTGTCAACTAGAATCAACTAGAAGGCAGTAACTGAGAAAAAGATGTGGTACCTGTTTCTGCAAAGATTTACAGCCTAACCAAAAAAAAAATGCAAAAAGAAAATATTTACAGCCTATGAAACGCTATGTGACAGTTTTACTGTCCCATAGGGTCATTGTGTGTTGGAATAGACTCAATGGTAGTTGATTTGGTCCCCTACATATTCTCATTTTTCTCTTCCCCAGGTACTGCCTCAAAGCAAGAGGTGCCCTCACATTGTTTCTTCACCTCATTCAAACTCCTTCCTGCGAGGCTCAGAGCAAAGCCTTCCCTCACCACTTCCTAGGGATGGAGTCCAGGAAACACAGAGTCAACCAATACTACTGAGCTCAGTTTGGTCATGGATTAGTGATGTCTGCCCAGGCACAGAATCACATTCTAGAAGCACATGGGCTTTGGACTGGCATCTCTGGTCTAGTCCGTTCCTAAGCAGAGAAAGACTCAGAGAGGACAAAATGCTTGAGGTCTCTCAACAGAAGAGAAACGGGCGTAGACCAGAGATGTCCTTTCCCTTACGATGCAAAGTGAGACATGATGGAAAATAAAGAAAGAACATGGCAGTATATATACCCCAGGAGGCTCTGCTGGTAGTGGACCTTGAGGCTGTGCAGGTACAGGGCCTCCTTGGCCTCAGCCTGCAGGCTGGAAAGGCGCAGGCCCACGTAGATGCTGGGGTTCAGCTCCTCCAGGGAGAGCCGGTCCATCCAGGGCAAGAGGCGCTGGCCCAGCATCTCCACCAGCTTGCTGTTCACCTGTGGCATTTCTTAGGAGAGAGAACAGGACAAGTGAGGCATCAAGGCCAGGCCACCAGCAAGGAAATGCTTTGAACACTGCAGGGCCTCCCCAGGGTATGAATACCCTACCCCTACCTCCACTTAGAACCCCACTCAACACATACACACACTTTGGTGGGGGGGGGCGCGGGGATTGAGTCTCCTGGCCCTTCTGAAAAGGTTGTAGGAGAGGGGTAGCATGAGAGGTATCCCAAAAGAGCAGAACAGGGAGAATTAGTGCTGCCTTTCAGGGGCCTGTTGCTAGGAAGATTGCCAGACCTTTCTTCTGAGGTGCTGCTGAATGGGTTCAAATCACCAGATTTTAGGTTTGTAAATGAGGGTGTCAGAAGTGATTTGTTGGCAACAAGGTGGGCCCAGATCAGAGAGTATGGCTGTTTCCTCACTACATATTGAAAGAAAATGGGGTGGTTTTGCTTCTCCCTTTTACTCAAGGCCTCTGCTTATCTCCATCTTTGTACATATTTCTCTCTCTCATCCCTCTGGCTTTGTCTCCCTCTCAGCCTGTCCTTCTGTATACCTTTTCCTCCTCTCCCTCACTGGGTGGCACAAACAGTTAAGTGCTTGGCTGGTAACCAAAAGGCTGGTGGTTTGAGTCCACCCTGAGGTACCTCAGGAGAAAGGCGTGGTAATCTAACTCCCCTTAATCAGCCACTAAACACCCC